TGGCTATAAAAACGGATATTTTTCAGCTGTTTCAGGCAATACATACGTTTAGACTGCGGAAGACGACACATCGATATGGTCTAAATAAGTATTAGATTATACAGTAAAATATTTATTTCAACTGTACAGATTTGACATGTGTTTCTGATCTGATAATTTTTTGATGACGTTCGTGATTTATTGGAGAATAATGTCCGCGGCATTTCTTTGATCTCGGCAGTAATCGTAGTAGAATTGTAAATATATACAACCTGTCCTTGGGTTGTACTTTAATTGTCTAACAGGTTTCATACTGATTGTTAGGTCATATAGTTTTTATACTAATATTACCCAGTTTACCTGTTCAATACGGCGGGTGTGACCTGTCGACAGGGGATACTTACTCCTCCAAGGCACCTAGACCCAATTTTACAAAAGAACTTACTACCAACACCAAAAACTTCTGCTGATTGTAAAATCTTGCAGAAATTAATCATTTTGTTAATAGTTTCTTGAGTCAAAATATTTTCATAATTCTTCTTTAGAAAAAAAAAGATTATTTTCAGACTATTTTCAGACAACAGGCATTCACAAATTAAATGATTTTTTTTGTTTTTTTCGTATGATATTTTGTAAAATAGACCCCATGATTTATAGTGTTTCCACCTGTACACGTGTTCCTGTTAATGTTTACCAGGATGTATGAGACTGATTGTCTCCCTTTTCATTGATATGATAAAGTGTACTGAATGTGAAAATAATTAATTTAAAAAAACCCAGTCATTACCCTCACGAAGTTTTAGAAACTATTAGCATCTATATTTATAGAGGAAATATCGTTGAGAACTACTTTATTACATCAAGGAAAATTGAAATAAAGACACTTAACTTATAACTCAATTTAATCAAAAAGTTCATATGGTAAACCACATCTATCTGCTTATAGATATGGAATCTGATGCTGTTATTTCGTTATCAATGAAGAACAATTTATTTCCCCATCCTGGGAAAAAAAATTGTCATCTCTGAACTAAAACTATCATGTATATGGTGTTTATAGGATAAAATGTAACTTTTCCTTAGTCAAAACATTAGGCTTCTATTGTCAAAGTTTTATATTCAAGGTGAAAATGGCATCGTTTTCGTAATATATATATATATATATATATATATATATATATATATATATATATATATATATATATATATATATATATATATATATATATATATATATATAAAGCGAAATATTGTCCTAAAGCTGTTTTTGAAATCGGACAACTTCATCCCTAAATAATTACAGATGGTCATCTGATCCTCTTCTTATTTATTTGTAAGTATCCACTAACTTTTAAAGCACTTAAAGGAACATGTGATGTAATTAAAACACGACAGCAATTCCGTGTTAATAAGAGACATCGCACGAGGTGCCATTCATAGTTGTTTATTTCCTTATACTTATAAATGCTTAAAAATCGTTAACCCAGATCTAGTGGGCATTTATTAAATCAACGAATGTTAAGAGGATAATTATCAGTCACCGTTTCTTCTAAAATTGTAATTTATTTTTGTGCGTTAAAAATTATCTTATTTTCCCAAACCTAAATGTAGTTAAAATGGATATTTTTCCTCTTCCGTGTACAATTATCATTATTTTCCTTCTTTTATTAATAAGTGTTGTTTACAGTACATATATTTACAAAATACCGGTAATTCTTGTAGAATTGTATTTATAATGTGTTTAAAGTGAAAATTAAACGAACAGTGATCAATCTTATAAATACAGTAAACAAAACAAATCGTGAGCAGGCAAAAACACGGACCCCTAGGAACACCAGAGATTGGATCAGGTGCCAAGGGGAAGAAGCATCTCCTGTCGACCGGTCAATGATTAAAAACTTCTTCAGAAACTATTACCGGTGTTGTATAGTAGGACATTCCCCATAGCCCGCTCCCCCGAAATTTATACATGTACTCTAGAGTACTTCTTCCCCAGAGGGGAAATCTCACACTACAGTCAAATTAATTTTCCCCTCTATCTTTCTCTGAGTACGACCTCCCCTGTTTTATTTATTATTAAATCATTTAAACTCTGTTTGGGGTAAAATTTTAAATAAAAGTCAACTAATTTTTTAATGGAAATATGAGTGTTTTTGACTCAGGGGTTGTTAAATTTAGTATGAAATCTTAAAACATGCAATTCAAAGTCTCAATCCAAAATTTTAACTCATAGGAAATCTTAGAATTAGTCACTCAAAAAATCGCAATACTCGATATCTCTCGCAGCGGTACATGTTTGTACAGCGTATTTTAAAATGCATATGTATGTCAGGCTACCTAAGTATTTGATACTTTGTTGCCCTCTGAAAGCCCAGTAATTTATTTATGAGTGGATCCTTTTTACAAAGAGTGCGTGAGAAAATTCTAAAATTTATCTTGATGAAAGATTCCATATACCATTTTGTGAAAATTTGAATCTAGTAGTTCTTCAAAGTGAAAAAAAAAAAAAAAAAAAAAAAAAAACAACAAACAAACAAACAAACAAACAAACCAAAACCCAACAATACAAGAAACACTGCTTTTGCAAGCCGAAGTATAAGTGTGGCCCTTCTCTACAACAGGTGCGTAATATTGGATTTGAAAGCAAATTTAAAGAGCAAATATTCTTTTAAAGTTCTGCAATATTTCATTTTTTTTTTTTTAGAAATAAATGACCCATTTTAGTTCCATGGCAACGGCAGATATTTGAACACCAGAAACTTGGAGAGACACTTACATAAATCAAATGAATATTATGTAAACAATTTGGAGAAAAAAACTCATTTCAAATAAAATTCAGTATAAATGATGATTGGCTTTTCTTTCATTACTTTATTGTTATCATTCATTGCTTACTCAGTCTACATGCCAAATACTAGTAAGTGCAACTCTTATGAACATCTCTATAGATTCATTCATTGCTTACTCAGTCTACATGCCAAATACTACTAAGTGCAACTCTTATGAACATCTCTATAGAATCATTCATTGCTTACTCAGTCTACATGCCAAATACTACTAAGTGCAACTCTTATGAACATCTCTATAGAATCATTCATTGCTTACTCAGTCTACATGCCAAATACTAATAAGTGCAACTCTTATGAACATATCTACAGAATCAGTTAGAAAAAGTCAGGGGAAAGATGGTTGCTGTTTGTTTTCTTAGATATTCATTTCGGTATTTTTAATTTATTTTTTCCAAATTTATCCGGTCAGTAAAATACACTAAACAGGACAAAAACATAAGATTACAATGCTTGTATCTGTATAATATCTTCTTTATGAAATTTAACAATCGTATGCTTTTTCTTTGAGTTATGTATGACTTGTTCCTCGATCATGATTTTCTAACATACATGTAACTGTATGGTCTGTTAATCAAACGTCTTGGATCTTCTTTTTCTAAGTCTTCCTTTACATCCGGTGTAATAATACTGAATACTGCAGTACTTGTTTTCACTTCTCTTCTTCTGAACTCAAATCGTCATTTAACAACGAATGAACAAAACTATTAAGGTCGATCTTCCTCCTTAACTCTGGGACTAGTCACCAGATTATTAGGAAGGGATTTTGCTATACAAGTGTCTTCTGTGTCTTTTTTTTTCTTGCTTCACTGCGTCATGCTTTAACTGGTTTTCCAAAACATCATGGCATAGACTGTACGAGTGTGGCTTTAATTTTTTGTTTTCACTCACACTCTTCAAATTGCGTGGAAAAGTCAAAAATTTGCAATTTCCACCAAGATTTGAAAATTCATGTTGTAACCGACCTTCATAGAAATCAACATCGTCCTGAAGGTCATTACATACAATTCCTCCCTCCTTATATAACGACACAGGAAAGCTTGCATTCACTTTAAGATTAACATGGTCATATTCAGTTTCAAATGAATATTTTTCATACAAATTTGTATTTCTCGTAACATGACTAGGTTAATTCTTTGGATATCTTTTTTTCTTTTATATCCACGCCTGCCTCTGCACAGAAACTGCCGATTTGGGAATAACGTATTTCTGTATATGGATCGTCACCTTGTCACATTGTTGTGTTGGGATGAGAGTGGAAACTCAAACATTTCCTTATTGGGAATGATGCTGTAAGTTTCTGTCTGTAAAAGATGAATTCAAGTGTTCCAAACTTTGACACTGTAATTCATTTATAAACACAATAATAAAACTTCAGGGTACAATCTAAAAAGGAGACATGTAGTTACTGGTGAAGTCAATATAGTTGAAAATGAAGACATAAACGCAATCATCTTAAAAGGTCCTAAATACAGGGAGCATCGATCTTTCAATTTGCGATAGAACTTCATTTCTATTATGAATTCTGTCGAAGATTATGCCAGACGTTGGGCTAAATGTGAAAAGGAAGAACGTTTTATCAGAATGGATTAAGTGTTTTTTTTTTTTTTTTTTTTTTTTTTTTAGAAATATGTTAAAGAATCGTATGAGAAATTTAAAAGGCAATTAACAAACCATCTATCCTTCTGTTTTCATTAAATCGAAGGGGATAAAGGAATTTAAAAGATTGCATGACCAACTTATTCAATACTCATGAGCTTGCTAAATCTAGAGGGTTCGTGTTTTATGCCCTGTTCACACTGTACTGTTCACACTGTACTGTTTGTAGATTTTTATGAGGTCGATTACTGTTCGTAATCTTCACCTTCTCATTAAAAATCATTTTAATCCATTTTTTAAAGATCTGCATAACATTTACAGATCCATTTCAACTCTAGATAGGAAGACGTCTTTAAATTACAGTACAAATATTCAGTATTGATGATTTACTTTTCTATTAAAATGTATATTTTATTGTTATCATTCATTTCTGCATGTTTATTCAGTTTACACGTCAAACACTACTCAACTCTTATGAACGCCTCTAACAGTTAGAAAAAGTTAAGAGAAAACGATGTTTTCTGTATGTTTTCTCAAATGTTCAGAACACAATCATAAGATAAGAATGCATGCATTTATGTAATATTAATTATCTTCTTTATGAAAATAAGCAGTAGTATTCGTTTTCTTTGAGTTATGGATGACTTGTTCCTCATGATTTTTTAACACAACTGTATGGTCTGTTAATCAAACGTCCCGGGTCCTCTTCTTCTAAGCCTTCCTTTACTTCCGGTGTAATGATATTAAATACTGCAGTACTTGTTCTCACTTCTTTCGTATTCAATTCATCATTTATCAACGAATGAACAAAACTGTAAGGCCGAGCTTCCTCCTTAACTTTGGAATAAGATGCATTCACCAGATTTTCAGGAAGGAATTTTACTACACAATTCTCTTCTTTGTCAGTTTTGTCTTGATCATCCTCTAACTCGTTTTCCGAAACAACATGCCATAGACTGTATGAGTGTGACTTTAATTTATTGTTTTTAGTCACCCTCTTCAAATTGGGAGGTAATGTCAAAGACTTGCAACTTCCATCATGATTTGGAAATTCTTTTTGTGACCGACCTTTATCAGGGAGAACAACATTTTCCTGAACGTCAGTAGATACTATTCCTCCCTCCTTATGTAACGACCCAGGAGAGCTTGAATTCATTTTTAGATTCACATGGTCATATTCAGTTTCAAATGAACATTTTTCATACAAATTTGTGCTTCTCGTAATACGTCGAGGTTCTGTTGATATCTTATTGCCTTTGTCGTTTATATCCACGCCTGCTTCTGCACAGAAACTGCCGATTTGGGAATAACGTATTTCTGTATAAGGATCGTCACCTTGACATTGTTGTGTTGGGATGAGCGTGGAAAGTTCAAGGTGTCCTTCCTGGGGATGATGCTGTAAGTTTCTGTCTGTAAAAAATGAATTCATGTGCTTCAAACTTTGATATTGTAATTCATTTAACACAATAATAAACCTCCAGGGTACAGTCTAAATGGGAGAACGGTTGCTATTTATTCTGCTTTTAAACATACACTTAATTCTGCCAAGTATACCAAACCTAGTGTTGTCAAAACTGGTCCGTTCTAATCCCACCTCTCTCATGAGGTAAACTAAAACCAATCATTGCATCAAATGGATTCATCATACTACATGTAAGTATCTGAAGATGCACTACATTTATACTCACCTGGGAAAAATCAAGAATATACCAACAAAAGAGTCGACCAGAGTCATCTTAGGGTATAATGTTAGACAGGGGAACTTCATCTTAGGGTATAATGTTAGACAGTGGAACTAATGGAAGCTCTCATCAAAAAAAAAAGCGATAAAAGATCTATCAGATACCAAGAAGTGGCTTAGAAATTTCTGGATATAGGAAGCTTTTGTCTTCAGACAGGTGTAAAATCTGTCAAGATTACGTCAGCACTTCTTAACAATTTTAGCACATCTTTACAATTTTAATACACCAACCCTTACAATTTTAGGACATTTTAACAACATCTATGCTGACCTTTTTAATTCTAGCACATTTTTGCAACATTTCTGCTGATCTTTACAATTCTAAGAGTCGCCCGCGTGGCGCAGTGGTTATAGCGTCTGCCCTAGAGTCGCGGAGTAAGGAGTTGATCCTTACGTCGCGGGTTCGAACCCCACTGTGGGACGTGGAGTCCGGTCCTTCGGATAAGACCGTATAAACCGAGGTCCCGTGTCGCAGTAGGTGCTGGCACGAAAAAGATCCCTCACTGCTCAATGGCCGTAAGTACCGAGTATAGGACAAAATTTGCAGCTCTCCACCGGCTAGTGGTGGCGTCTCCATATGAGTGAAAAATTCTCGAGAGGGACGTTAAACAAAATGCAAACAAACAAACAAACAAACAATTCTAACACATTTTTACATCTCTGTCGAGGAGTTAAGAAAAGCAGCAGCCATTATCTGCTACCAATACTGCATCTTCATGTATACTATGATTTCATCAATCCATGCATTAACTTTATTTATAAGGAAAAACGACAAATCAAATTCACCTGGCTCTAAACGGGAAAATAAAATCCTCTGGATTCCCTTTGGAGCATTCTTCTTAAGTTTCCGACTAAAAAATGAAACAAATTTATTTCTTGAAAAAGGTAGTAAAGTTTAAAATCTGGGATGTATATATATATATATATATATATATATATATATATATATATATATATATATATATATATATATATATATATATATATATATATATATATATATATATATATATATATATAACATGTTTATTTCAGTTTTGGTAATGAGACATTGTATTTAGATTTAAGGAATTTTGTTGATGGAATACATTTACTGTAAATATAGAATATGTTAAATAATACCATGATAAACAAAAGCATGATAGTACCGAGAACGGAAGTACAGAAAACATCCAATCAGAACGAGTGTTGTTAAAGATCCAATCAGTGAACAGCTTACAGCTAACCAGGTGGCATCATGCTGATTAACAATTTCATATTGGTCATGACGTCCTGCTGGGTACATACTGGAAGTTATTATGGTTTGCATATCTGTCGTTTTATTTGACCATTCAAAAACATTTGATGGTTTAAGACTGGATGTATTCCTAGTTTGCCAGTCTTTAGTTTTATCCAACCAATCCAAAGAAGTAGACTTTCGATGCCTTTTATCCGTTGTGTTCTCAGACCAATTATCTGTAGTGCTACCTCTAGTGCATCCTGTAACATAATGACAGTCATGGGCTTTGCACTTACAGGGAGATTGACACAGCCGTCCGTAAAATCCTGACGGACAAGTCTGATTACAGTTCCATCCAATAGAACCATGTAGACATTCTAGAGTAATTAATTAGATGTTAATGCATTATGTAGAACAATAATATGAGAGCTTTTGCGGCAATAACTATGGAAGATCTTTTTTAAATACAGTTCATGAATGCAGCAAGCACCTCTCACGGAAGAACTCTAATTCCATGGTAGTTTTATGCAGTCAGAGTGATCTGCCCTCAGACGTTATATAGAATTAACGGGAATATATAGTGAATGAGACAATTTAATTCATAATTAGTAAAAGTATTTTAAGCATTATACATGACCAAGATAAGTAATTGAGTATATTATTGCCATATTTTCCTATTATAAGTAAACAACAGTGATTTCTGATCACCGATCACTGATACTTCAATGTCTTTGAACATTTTTCCTTGGGAAATATAGCAGATATCGTATGTTGAAATTGAACTAGATTAACTCAGTATGTACACCTTAAATGGTATAATTTTCTCTATTTATCCCCCCCCCCATTTTTTATTAGTGTTTAGAGCTTCCTTTAAAGGACGATGATATCTGTCTAAAGATTTTTATTAATAGAGCGGTATATGCTAACTACATTTACAAATATCTACATTTGTTCGATGTTTTACTAAACATTCATCTCTAGCTCAAAAGTACTGAGGTTGAGTAATAAAATACTTCGTTTAAGAATGTATTTGGTGAACAAGGAAAGGCATTTCTTAAAATAATTAGTTTTTTTCTATTGTTTGCCAATAAAAACCACTCGCAAGTAAAACATACCGTTGCAGCTCTTAGTCTTTGGGTTTAGATGCTGATTATAACAGCATGGGTTGCCCTGCCTATACAATCAAAGATACAGTATCAAATAATAGATATTTTGCGAAAAGAGTGCTATTCCAATAATCATTTCTTATTTTGTGTAAGTAAGTTTTGTCGTATTTTAATAAAAGATGCATGCATAACATATTACCTTTTACAATCTGTAGTCATCGATGATGCTGTCAGAACAGTGAGAAATATTGTTTCCTATTTAAGATAACAACATATATGACTTACTGAACTTTACAGGACGGAAATCTACTCTTAAATAACAAAGAGATAGACGGAAAAATATCACATGTTTTAACGAATTGCATGTATTGTAAATTTAAGGTTAGAAGTGACAATTGATATGTACCAAAAGTATAATTCTGTCATATGAAGTCTTTAATTCCTCTGTCTTTAAAACATTTTTTTCTTTTCAAGCCTCAAAGTTTATGTGTAGCATTGTGTTCACCACCACATGTGTTATTACTAAAGTTACATGTTTATGAATGACCCCCCTGTTTTGTATATATCTTTTCGTCATTTACAAAATAAATGACATTATTCATTCTAATACATGTGTTCTCATTTCGCCTGCTTTGAGCAAAAAACGAGCTCAGTCTCCTTGGCAAGGTTATACAAACTAAGGAACATAAATGTAGTTAAAATAACATAAGTTTGAGGTTGGATGGATCACTGTTCGATACCAGCACCTTTCCGTTTGCTACATAATAAATTTAGAAGTAGAACAAACATATTATTTCCATCAAATTTACAAAACATGCATAAAAAAGCAATTCCAACCACACGAGTTATTTATTTTACTACTTTATTTTCTGATGCCATTCATAATAAACCTAAATAAACCCAATGCTCAAAACAACGACAGTAAGACCAACATGGTTAAATATCATCACTAAACACAAAATTGTAGATTAGCCGTCTACCAAACACGTATTTTTATATTTTATTATCCAGATTTGACCATTCAAATATGACAAAAAGCCAACGGAAACTCTCCTGAATTCTACTCACCACTGTATGTTTTCTTATGTTATTTATAATCAACTGAAATGAATACCTAATGCTAAAAATTCAAATCAACGATCAGTAAAAAAAACACCCATCCTTCCAAAGAGATGCTTTAAGATTATGAAAATCATTTCATACTTATTTTTATAAGTTATTGCCGAGCTTAACTGAATACATAATGTGAAATAAAATGAGTAATACTTACCTGTTGCAGCAATTACTGATAGGATATAGATACTGATGGAAGCTGCAATTGGATTGCCCTGCCTGCAAAATTCTTTATTATTATTCATTAAAATTAAAGAATAAATCCTCCAAATGAGAAGTATTCTCGTATTCCGTTCTGACTTACTACAGTGTATAAAAGCGAATTTTGTTATCTTTCAGAGTTACAATAAATGTTGCATATCATATTACCTTCTACAGCCCGCAGTCCTTACTGCTGTCATCGTTTTAGAACAGTCAGATGTATACGTGAAAGTCTCTCCGTATTCAAACAATAATGTACGACTTTATCCAGCGTTAGCGCAATATTAAAATTTTTCTGGACAATGACACAATGAAAGTCAATAATTTACAGTGGTCAATTCAATACTTATATTTACATTTATTAATTTCATAGTACATTGTAGATTGATAAAATATCACTGCTTTCAATACATTATGTCTATCTAATATAATACACCGCAAGTGTATAGCCTGGAGCGGCCGTTACAAACGTAAGAGTGAATTTTGATTTTCGTTTATATTGCCGCATTTCTAGGACGTTCAAAATTGTGACGTCAAAATAGAATCAATACTTTAACCTTTTGACCTCCCCGTCCATGATTTGTTGTTTTGAATGCCGAAGCTTCCAAAACACTTTAGAAGGAAAATACATATGGAATGTAAACAGGCGCTAATCTAGAAATGTTTCAAAGAGGGGGGGGGGGGTGAAGAGGAAATGAGAGTTGTAATAACGTACGTTTACATAGTTAATATAAACGACAACTAAATAAGAATACTACAGGGACGAAGAATCGTTTTTGAAAGTGGGGGACCAGCCAGGAAAAAAAATCTGGATTACTTGAAAAATTTTGACAAAAATGGAAAATAATTCTCTGAACCCGAAAATCCTATTTCGTGGGGGTGGGGTGGGGGTGGTGGTGGTGGTAGGTTCCTTGTTTTTACAACCGAATTCTCTTAATACATTACTACATAGCCTTTCAAAGAAGGTAACCCCCTCTAGATCCACCACTGGTAAATATTGAATGATATTGCTTACCGAACAGAAAACAGTAAAAATACTCTTAATCAAATGTATATGTTGAATTTGAGGAAATTCTTTTTTTTTTAATGGAAAAGTAATGATTAGCAAGAAAATATACTGTACACATCAACTTCTAACACTATCCTATGAAAATATGGAAAATTTGACAAATCCATTGATGTATTTTCATGCTGAAATTTCTCGAATTCGAGAATAATCTGAAATTCTTTAAGATCAGCTAAGAATAAAAATTTGAATAGATATAACAAGAAAATGTATTGTACATCAATTTCTAACAATATCCAATGAATATAATGTGGAACATTTAACAAATTCCTATAATTTCACGGAAAGGATTTAAAATCTGTAAGAAATTATACAACTTCGTATCAAATTAAGAAGAGTGTCAGATATATATTCTTCATCACATTTACTAAACATGCGTATTAGGTTCGATCAAAAAACCAATAATTTTTGTTTACTACATAAAAGAGTTCAAAACAAGACTGGAAAACATCATATAAAACAAGTAATCTTTCTGTTATCATTTTTTACGCCAATTAGCATTTGAATTATCTATATATATATTTTTTATATATTTTAGCTACCAACTTTACCAAATCGAATATGGCAAAAAGTTAAAATAAAAACTTTCTTTCACTCTACACAAACACTGCGAATGATACTAATTTTATTTAAAAAAAACAGTTGTGTTAATACAATCCTTAAAATTCAAAATAAGGATTGGAAAGAAACATCTTCAAAATTCTTAACATAGAAATCCTTTTAAATTATTAAAATCATTCACAATTAACATTAAAATTATATGTTACCTGTAGCAGTGTGAAGGCAGAAGACATTGTCAAAGAGCTGCTTATATACTGTAACAGCTCCCCGTATTTACATGAAATCAGACTATTCAAATTGACCAATAAGAACACAGCACTAGTTTTAATTCCTTTTATTTCATAGAGCATAAAATTATATTATTATGAGAAATGTCTGATAAAAAAAATGAAATGTAATTTTGTTTAGGGAGTGATTAAGATTTATAAGGAAAGTAGTACTTTTTTGCTCTTTTATAGCTCTCCTATATTTTGCACTTCAAATAGAAAAGAAAAAAAGAATTAAAAGGAGTTAAGCTGCATGCGATTCATTGTATCTTTAATACATTGAGAGTCTATGTAGAGTTCAGAAAAGTCCAAAATGAGTTTCCTCCCGAGTCCAAAAGTGATCTTCCTGGTTTATATTAAGCATTGATATTTATAATACGTACAAAAATACCAGTTGCTCTGAATAGTATTGAGAAAAAAAAAAACTACTAGCCTTACTTCTTTGCTGATTTATCAATTTCAAGTTGGTACGCTGACACAAAATGAAGCAAATCATTTTTGCATTTGAAAGCAATACTTTTAGGTTATGAATTATACAAAGCGTAAATGATAAAAGGCTTTGCTGTATGCCGAAGGTTTGATTGTTTTCATTTTTTTTTCTTCAGAAAACAATGCAAAGAAATCCATGCATCTTTAAATGTCGAGGATTATTTATAACTCATCTTTTAAAGATCACTGTGATATTTTCTTATTCATTCCCAGTTCAGAAACACTGACATGTATGTTTTACTTCTATTTTTATTTCAGATTTTAAGATTTTTCTTTTAAAATTCAACTCTAAGACTCATACACTAAACAGATAAAAAACTCATCCAAAACCTTGTATTTGTCTTTGCAATATCAGTTCTTTTAAAAGTGTTTTCTGACAAAATGAATTCTTTTAAATTGTTCTTCATTCTACCAACTTTTTAACAAAGCTGTATGGTATTCTTTATCAAAAGCATCCTTTACTTCTTGTTTTGCAATACTGATATCTACTGATATCTTCATCTTTTGATTTCCCTCTTTCTTTTGGATTGGATTCATCATGACAACAAATTAACAAAACTATAGGGTCGGCTTTTACTTTTGGATCAGATGCTGACACGTTATTTTCTGAAACTATTTCTACACAGTTCTCCCCCTCGTCGTTTATTTCTTGTCCACAGTATAACAAACTTAAGCATCATTATGGTATATACTTTTAGAAGCTTTATTGTTTTCACCTACTCTTCTCAGATAGGAAAGTAATGCAAAAGATTTGGGGATTTCATTTTGGTTTAGAATTTTATTTTGCTCTCGATCTTCCTCTGACAGAATGACTTGACCTTTAATTAACTTCTTCCGCCTTTTGTAATAACTCAGGAAAAATTGATTTTACATTAAGATTAACATGGTCATATGCAGGTTCAAATGAACATTTTTCATACAATTTTGAACTTCTGAAACACCTTTGGGATCCTTGAAAATCATTTGCCTTTTTCTTTAGTGAAAATTGTATTTTCACATGTTTCTGCACATGTAACGCCGATTTTTGAAATCCGTCTATGCATGATCTTGACACCTGTGTGTTGGTTGAGCGGGGATAACTCGAATTGTCTTTCTCTGAAATTTTGTATGTTTCTGTCTGTAAAATATGAATATTTACATTCCAAGCTTGATACTTAAACTTCCCTTAATGATAAAATACATGTCGGGGTTACATAATCCAGAAAAAAAAATAATGATAGCAAGTATATTTATCTTTTTTTAAATCTCGATCTTTTATGTAACACACCAAGCTTCGCTAAACAAATTCAATCTATTCAAACATGTTACATAGATTATATGTATTACGTAATAATATACAGAGAATTTTACGCAATGTATAAATATATAATGTGCAGTTTTTCTTCCAATAACCAAAAAATTGCTCATAAATACGTAACAGCTGTTTTAACAACTTTTCATAAGCGTACTGAAACGTAACATTAACAAAAGGTGACATGTGATCAACACGTTAATAGAATACGTTAGATCCTTTTTTCATGGTTACGCATATCTACACCGTAGGGTTCTTAAACGTAATCATTAAAAAAAATCTATCGATTCTAAAACAACCGTGCCGTACCCCTGGGTCGAGGCCTCTGCTGGTGAAGTGTTAGTCCCCGACGGTCTCTACAGCCCAGTAATCTAGTACTTCGATACTAGCTTGAAAATACGGGTATATACTTAACTGCTGTGGTAAAGCCTATTTGGCTCTATTCTTTGGTACCTTTTTCAGCTCTTCCCAGTCTTTTTTATTTCAATATTTTGGATTTCCAGCGTTTCGGTTCGGGCATCACTTAAGAGACATAATTTGTCGAAATGCGCATCTGGTGCATCAAAATTGGTACCGTATATGATTTACATTACCCCTGGGTCGAGGCCTCTGCTGGTGGACTGTTAGTCCCCGAGGGTCTCAACAGCCCAGTAACCTAGTGCTTCGGTACTAGCTTGAAAATACGGATATATATTTAATTGCTGTGGTAAAATTAGAAATTTATTTCCAAATTAAGGATTATTTCCCTCATGCAAAAACTCTTATCCTTGGACGTATTTGGCTCCAGTCTTTGTCACCTTTTTTCAGGTTTTCCAAGTCTTTTTCATTTAAATATTTTGGATTTCCAACGTTTCGGCTAGAGCATCACTGAAGAGACATAATTTGTCGAAATGCACATTTGGTGCATTAAATTGGTACCGTATATGATTTACATTAATGCGTAAAAGTAGTAAAAGTTTGTATAGAATATATAGTGAAATGACAAAAATATTTCTGTTTTCACGCTGTAGATATTAAAACAAGTTTATATATATATATATATATATATATATATATCCGGTTTATAATGTTGCGGTTGTCCACCAGGAACCCACCCTTGGCTATATAAACCCGGAATTTTATATACGTTTTATTTCAACCATAGAAGTACCAGGACGTCGAAGGGGTATCTGAATATTTAGATACTTTTCCTCTTGTGTTAACAATAACTGTTCTTCTCCTGGTAATAGGAAGTGTTGATTTGTTCGATACACAAACACCGGGAGCACTTGTCTAGTTTAAATAAATAAATAAATAAAAAAAAAAAATAATTAAAAACTTTGGCTTTACTTCCTTGTTGATGATAAATTGTTAATTGGTAGGCTAATTATACAAAATTTTGCATTTGAAATCAAAACTTTCAAGTTATAAATATTACAAAGTACTTATAAGAATTATCAGGTGATATTGTCTTCATCAAAAGCTCTTATTTATAAGAATTATGCGTACAAATTTAAACAGAAAGATAAAAAAATTAACCATTTTGAA